CCTCATTTTCATGGTTCAGTGACTACTTGAAAAAAAAGTTAAGATTTTTTGTAATGTTAGATTCTCTCTTATTATAAGTAATAGGATAACTATATTTGGTATGTGCGTACCTTGTAAGGTCCTCATGCCCGTCAGACAGTTTTCACTTGACCTCGACCTCATTTCATGGATCAGTGAACAAGGTTAAGTTTTGGTGGTTAAGTCCATATCTCAGATACTATAAGCAATAGGTCTAGTATATTCGGTGTATGGAAGGACTGTAAGGTGTACATGTCCAACTGGCAGGTGTCATCTGACCTTGACCTCATTTTCATGGTTCAATGGTTATAGTTAAGTTTTTGTGTTTTGGTCTGGTTTTCTTATACTGTATGCCATAGGTCTACTATATTTGGTGTATGGAATGATTGTAAGGTGTACATGTCTAGCGGGCAGGTGTCATCTGACCTTGACCTCATTTTCATGGTTCAGTGGTCAAAGTTAAGTTTTTGAGTTTTGGTCTTTTTTTCTAATACTATATGCAATAGTTCATTTATATTTGGTATGTGCGTACCTTGCAAGGTCCTCATGCCGTTCAGACAGTTTTCACTTGACCTCCACCTCATTTCATGGATCAGTGAACAAGGTTAAGTTTTGGTGGTCAAGTCCATATCTCAGATACTATAAGCAATAGGTCTAGTATATTCGGTGTATGGAAGGACTGTAAGGTGTACATGTCCAACTGGCAGGTGTCATCTGACCTTGACCTCATTTTCATGGTTCAGTGGTTATAGTTAAGTTTTTGTGTTTTGGTCTGGTTTTCTTATACTGTATGCCATAGGTCTACTATATTTGGTGTATGGAATGATTGTAAGGTGTACATGTCTAGCGGGCAGGTGTCATCTGACCTTGACCTCATTTTCATGGTTCAGTGGTCAAAGTTAAGTTTTTGTGTTTTGGTCTGTTTTTCTTAAACTATAAGCAATAGGTCAACTATATTTGTTGTATGGAAGAATTGTTAGCTGTACATGCCTGCCTAGCATGGTTCATCTGACCTTGACCTCATTTTCATGGTTCATTGGTCAATGTTTAGTTTACTTGGTTAATGTTAAGTTTATGTGACAGTTGTAATAAAGCTTTATATTTAGGACTATCAACATAATATCAATGATTAGTAAAGAAGGCGAGACATTTCAGCGTGTGCACTCTTGTTTAATTACTGTAATTGTCCTATTAGAATCGAAATAATTCATGAAAGCCATAGATTTGTTGGAAATTTACACATGGCCTGGGCCGTAGCGAGGGATAAAATTAACGAATATCACGGCCCAGGCCATGTGTAAATTTCCAACAAATCTATGGCTTCCATGAATTATTTCTTAAATATCAAAACATAAATAACGGAAGTATTAAATCATTAACGATAAATTAAAATTTTTATTTGTTTAACAATTAAATGAAACAAAATAAACAAAGATTACTCAATCATCAAAATAGTTGTCTGTTCGATAGAGGTTATTATCCTATTAAGTTGTTAGTTACACAAAAAAGCTGTCATATTTGGCTATGGGGATTATTATTACCTTTTATCCCTTAATCCTTAATTGGTTTTTTGTATGGATCTCTGGTGTTGAATTGGGGTTATGTAAGGTAAACAAGGTTAACAAACAAACGCAGTTGTGAGTACAGTGATATTTATCCAATGTATTTTATATGCATGTAAGCTGCATTTGTATTCAAGTGTATTTACTTTAACGAAAATATACTTACCGCAAAATTTGTCGAAATAAATTATACACTGCGTAAAAAGTACATATACCGTATTATGAAAGATACCTAATTTAGCAGTTATTCATCCTGATGGTCAACTTGTTGCTTAAAAACAATAAAATTGACGAAAAGTAGCAACCTGCCGTCATTTTGTCCAAAGAACAATACAGAAATCTGTTTTAACACAAATTTAATTGGTAAATGACGTATGGGATGGCTGTAAAACCTTTTTAAATCCTGGTTTCAAAAATCAAAAGGAGGGAAAAAAATATTTTGATACTTCAAACATTGTCAAAACTGAGGTTATAGATTTGTTCCTGAATAATTGATGTGTGATTTTTTGATAGACATTTGTTCTTCCATTGACAATTATTAGTTTATGTGGCTGCAAAATTTTTTTTTAGTTTTTGGACACTCAGATACAACCAATTTCATTATTTTCATTGGTTGACAATGGAATTTGTAAGTGGTTCTTCTTCAAGCCATTACATTATTATAGGCTGTTGTATCCACATACATGTACATCTATATGAAAACCATATGTAAAAACCATATAATTATATATAATAGTGCCAAATCTTCACATCTGTAAATAATCTGTATACCTAATGAATAGGAGGGAGAGTAAATTGTAATATTGTAGAGAAGTACTAGCTAGGTATCTGTGGGGTGGAGAATCAGATTTTGGGAGGAATTCAAAACAAAAATGATAGGATGCTTTTGTTTCATTTATTATCTGACAAAGTTCAAGGTCTTTTTATTAAACCCGTTTTGTTCCTTTTTCTCATCACTTGGCGTCCGTCGTCGTCTGTTAACTTTTACAAAAATCTTCTCGTCCGATGATCCTGCCTGCCAACCAAGATTGCCGACATGGCTAAAAATAGAACATAGGGGTAAAATGTAAGTTTTGTCTATTATTTTGAAAACCGTTATATATAGACTAAATCTGACAGGGGCAGAAATGTTCAGAATGTTGAGCTCAATTTTGCCTTTTATCGTAAAGACTATAATAGATAGAGAGAAACTTTAAATTGCAACAATGATCAGCTAAACATGTTCTACAAATAAGTCTAATGATTGAAATCGTCAGTCGACTCCTCATTAGAGTTATGGCCCTTTGATGACAAATTTTTACCAAATTTTTGCGTTTTGCCTTATATCTTAAAGATTATAATAGATAGATAGAAACTTAAATAGGCAAAACTGATCAGCACGACAAGATCTCAATTAATACAATATGGTGGAAATTGGTTGATGACTCGATCCTTATTGGAGTTTTTGCCATTTTTTTGCGTTGTGCCTTATATGATAAAAATTATAATAGATAGATAGAAACTTAATTAAGAAAAATTGATTAGCAAGACAACATCTACTAAAAGTCAAATTTTGCCGATATAGTTAGTAGACTGTCACTCTTTATAGGAGTGATTGCCCTTAATTTAGGATTTTTTTTACCATCTTTTGTGTTTTGGGCAAAAACTAAAGAAGATAGACAGAAACTAAACGAACTAAATGATCAGCAATACAAGATCAACAAAACATAGATTTTTGTCATGAATTCTATTCTCGCCTACAATGTTGGAGAGTGTCATTTGTTGAATATGCATATAGACCAAAATGAGGGACACAGGCTCTTTAGAGCCTCTACTTTTAATGGGTGATGGATATTAAGTCTTTTTTGTATATTTATTATAGTTCTTTTGGTTTGTTTTTTAGTGTTTCTCAGTGAGTACATTGTCTTTTAGTCCACCTCCCAATTTTCCTTTATTTCTAATGAACATGTCATGATTTACTCATTATCTTAGTTACCTTTTTAAATCAAAGCAAAAACCAAATTTGCAATCATTGATATGCAGCAGAGATGCAGTTGAAAGATCAAGTGAAAAAATAGTTAAAAAATCATTTATAAATTTTATGCATGGTATGAAATTTTCTGAGAGAATTCAATAATCATCTAAACAAAATTGTAAATTTATTCTGTTGCTACAATAATAAAAATATATCACAATATAACTCTGCTATAAAATAAAAAACAAGAAAATCTAGTTTGTCATGTTTCATGATAAAGTTTGCTAAAAATAACTATAGTTTAAATATATATATGTATTCTAAAGTGGAATTATTGCTTTGTTCAAGGTAGGCGATAATAATAGGTTTTTACGGACAAAACTATTAATGAAAGAGGAAATCAAATAGGAAGTTATGTACTTAAAATTATATAAAAAAACAAAAATTTCCAAGGAGAAAAATTAAAATAAAAAACAAATTTCAAGGAGAAAATTAATGTGGAAACAAAATTTGCTGCAAGGTAAAATAGTATTTATTTTTATAATTCAGTAGGTAAATATTATTGATACTTTCCATTTGATTAAACACTGTTGAGGGTTCATAGTGTGACGGCCAGTTGTAGTGTACTTTAAATTTGTACAAGATATACATGTAGGTATGTAGGTATGTATTTATGTTATATACTGTCCTAAAATTTAACAGAAGTCCTAAGACATAGTCAAAGGACAACCTGATACAATTGTTTATATTTTGCAGTAGAGGACAAAGACATAAATTTATAGAATGTTGTAATCAAATGACAAAGTGGTACAAATGTACATAGTTTTGTAGTCAGAAGACAAAGGGATAAATTTATAGAGTTTTGTAATCAAATGACAAAGTTGTACAATTGAATATATTTTGTAGTTGGAGGACAAAGTGGTACAATTGTACATAGTTTTGTAGTCAAAAGACAAGTTGGTACATTAGAACAAAGTTTTGTAATCAAAGTACAAAATGACACATTCATACATAGTTTTGTAATCAAATAACAAAGTGGTACATATGTACAGAGTTTTGTAGTCAAAGGACAGTGATACATATGTACAGAGTTTTGTAGTCAAAGGACAATGATACATATGTACATAGTTTTGTAGTCAAAGGACAGTGATACATATGTACAGAGTGTTGTAGTCAAAGGACAGTGATACATATGTACAGAGTTTTGTAGTCAAAGGACAGTGATACATATGTACAGAGTTTTGTAGTCAAAGGACAGTGATACATATGTACAGAGTGTTGTAGTCAAAGGACAATGATACATATGTACAGAGTTTTGTAGTCAAAGGACAGTGATACATATGTACAGAGTGTTGTAGTCAAAGACAGTGATACATATGTACAGAGTTTTGTAGTCAAAAGACAAATTGGTACATTAGAACAAAGTTTTGTAATCAAAGTACAAAATGACACATTCATACATAGTTTTGTAATCAAATAACAAAGTGGTACATATGTACAGAGTTTTGTAGTCAAAGGACAGTGATACATATGTACAGAGTTTTGTAGTCAAAGGACAATGATACATATGTACATAGTTTTGTAGTCAAAGGACAGTGATACATATGTACAGAGTGTTGTAGTCAAAGGACAGTGATACATATGTACAGAGTTTTGTAGTCAAAGGACAGTGATACATATGTACAGAGTTTTGTAGTCAAAGGACAGTGATACATATGTACAGAGTGTTGTAGTCAAAGGACAATGATACATATGTACAGAGTTTTGTAGTCAAAGGACAGTGATACATATGTACAGAGTGTTGTAGTCAAAGGACAGTGATACATATGTACAGAGTGTTGTAGTCAAAGGACAGTGATACATATGTACAGAGTGTTGTAGTCAAAGGACAGTGATACATATGTACATAGTGTTGTAGTCAAAGGACAGTGATACATATGTACATAGTTTTGTAGTCAAAGGACAGTGATACATATGTACAGAGTGTTGTAGTCAAAGGACAGTGATACATATGTACAGAGTTTTGTAGTCAAAGGACAGTGATACATATGTACATAGTTTTGTAGTCAAAGGACAGTGATACATATGTACATAGTTTTGTAGTCAAAGGACAGTGATACATATGTACAGAGTGTTGTAGTCAAAGGACAGTGATACATATGTACAGAGTGTTGTAGTCAAAGGACAGTGATACATATGTACATAGTTTTGTAGTCAAAGGACAGTGATACATATGTACAGAGTGTTGTAGTCAAAGGACAGTGATACATATGTACAGAGTGTTGTAGTCAAAGGACAGTGATACATATGTACAGAGTGTTGTAGTCAAAGGACAGTGATACATATGTACAGAGTGTTGTAGTCAAAGACAGTGATACATATGTACAGAGTTTTGTCGTCAAAGGACAGTGATACATATGTACATATGTACAGAGTTTTGTAGTCAAACAACAACATGGCAAAGTAACATTTGTTTTAAGTCCAAAACAATTCTGAACATGTTGATGGTTTAAGTTTTTTAGTGTATTGAAAAAGACTAAGAAATGTTTACTGGCAAATTACCAGTTAAATGATGGTGATGATCAAGTAAAAAAATGTATGTGATTATTTTATTACACTCCTGCTACTTGTAATTTGATGTAACAGATAAGGCTAGTGCATTCACAGACTTACCCTGTTGTGAGCCCCTGATTAAAACAACACACATACTACAGTACTCATTAATGAACACTTCTTATTTATACATAGTTATAATGATAATTTAGGTGTGAAATAGTGTGAAAATTATTTTTCACCTCGAAATTGGATAAGGTTTTTAACTTCTTAAGGATTTTATGTGAAATTCATGTGATGAAAGTTAGTTGAGAATTTAAGGAATTTCCATGTGTAATTTGTGAATAAGATAATGTGATGGGATGGTAGTGATTTGTAGTGTATAATTATCTACAATAGATGAAGGTATATCATGACGGTAGATTTTGGTGAGTCCGCTTGACGATTTTTATTTCTGAAATATTTATGTTTTTTTTTCAGCAGCAAAAACCTGACTTGATTATGATCAAGTTTGAGATGGGAGTGACTGATGCAAAATAGCTAGAGGGGTTATATTCACACAAATAAAAGGAGATATAGGGTAGATCCTAATGAGACAGCAACCCAAAGACACAAATAACCAAATATTGTTTCTTTTTTACAAACATTGACAAACGTTTGCTTACCTGTATCTTACACTACAGTATTAAAATGTTTTACAAGAAAAAATAGTTGAAAGTTTATGGAGATTTGAATAATGTTATATACATTATATAATCAAAGACAACAATTTTTTCCTCATCTTACTTATTATTTAGACCCCCCCCTTTTACTTGGAAGTGAACTGTTCATTGTTCAAATTATACAGGACTTGTATAAAATACATACTTATTTAATTACATGAAAAAAACATTGGATGTCATATCTGATTTTATGCAAATTTTCATTATGTGTGAATATTCAATTGTTCATCATGTATGTCTACTGGTACTTGTTCAACTTGATTTTATCTTTAAATCTAGGAGATTTATAGTGTAATAAAGTTACAAAAGACTGAGCCCAGTTTATTATCATTATAATGTTTGCCCTGAAGAAACTACTTAGTCTGTCATTGTGTCTGTCCATTTCAAGTAAATTGCTTTTACCTGTATTATAAAAGAAATACAAAAAAAAATTTTTTTCTCTGCATTTCTAAGAAAAAAAATACAGTTCTCATTGCAGTAAGCTTTTAATAAATAGTTTGAATAAGATTTTCAGATAGGGTAATAACTTCTTCTTGATAGTTATATTAATTTGTACTTGCTCATCTGCTTTTACTTGAGCAGATGGTCATTGTGATCTATTTGACCTTCATAATCGTTTGAACAATTTTTAAATGGCCAGATTACTAAAAACAAACTTTTAACAAACCTTCATTGGATATTTCTAAAATGTTTTGAAAGTGTTTGTTGTAGTACATTGTCTCTTGAAGGAGATTTTCATATGATTTAAACTGAGTGTCCACATGGTCCAGATTTACCAGATTTGGGGTGATCCAAATGCATTTACATTCTTTTGATGTATGAATTTTTATCAAAGCTGAAAACTGTATTTTCTCCTCTTTCATTTCAGATGTAGTACATGTAATGGCCTCAGATAAAGCCTTTCATAAGAGAGATTCCTCAAATGTTCTAGTCAAACAGGTAGGAAATTAATATATATATACAATATGCATAAAGTTTTATTTCAGCTTGAAATAGTTATGATGGTCTGATTAAAGTTTTTTCTTCAAAGAATTTTAGGTCTGAGTAGAGGACAGATGTCAGATCTAGACATGTTATTTTATAAGTGCACTTTTCAAATTGGAACTGTTTTTTTTATGCCCTTTCTACTATAGTAGTTAAATTTTTGAAATATATGCTGAATGAGGGTTTCCTGATTCTACTGTAGCTCACTGAAAATTGAAATGTTTTAGATTAAAGTTTAGATTTAAGGCAGCTGTTCATCATGAAGTTGTCACATCAGTTTGAAAGGTTGTACACTGACACACATTCATTGTGGTGTGACATTTAAACAAATATGCCAAATAAGGGTTTTGATCTAGATTTCATGGTTCACAGAACATGGAAATGAAATAGTGTGAGCAGGGCATTGCATGGTGTCTACAAGGAGTTAAATGACTTTGACTACCCATGAGCATGGTGTCAACCAAGGTGTTTAACGACCTTGACTACCCATGAGCATGATGTCTACCAAGGTTTTTAACGACCTTTACTACCCATGAACATGGTGTCTACCAAGGTGTTTAACGACCTTGACTACCCATGAGCATGGTGTCTACCAAGGTGTTTAACGACCTTGACTACCCATGAGCATGGTGTCTACAAGGAGTTTAATGACCTTGACTACCCATGAGCATGATGTCTACCAAGGTTTTTAACGACCTTTACTACCCATGAGCATGGTGTCTACCAAGGTTTTTAACGACCTTTACTACCCATGAGCATGGTGTCTACCAAGGTGTTTAATGACCTTGACTACCCATGAGCATGGTATCTCCTATCATGTATGGGAAACAAATGTTTTACTTATAAAAGTTAAAAGTTACTGATTTATGTCCATTGATTGATGCATAGATTAGTTATATGTTGCAGCAAATAATGAAATTTAGAATATTAGTATTCTTATAGTCAAATCATAAAGTTTTTCTAAAAGGAGAGAAAATTAATTCCTTTGGAATTGATTTAATCAACAGAAGATTTTATATGCCTGTCAAGGTGTGCTCTTGGTTTTCATGTCCTGCCTAGGACAGTAGAGGTCCTTTTTGTTATCCAGTCTGTGTGTCTGTCCGTCTGTGAGTCCCCTGTCACGTTAAAGTTTTGGTTTAAGGTAGGTTAAAGTTTTGGTTTAGGGTAGTTTATGGTCAAATCAACTCGAAACTAACTACACATGTTCCATTATGACAAGAACTTTTTAATATATGTGCTTACCTAGGATTTTGACCCAGATTTCACGGTTCATTGAACATATAAATGTGATATGTTTTGGTTTAAGGTAGTTTGTGGTCATACCAACTTGAAATTTAGTACTGCATATGTTCATTATTAAGTTTATATATAATGCTGAATTACTGGTTGACAAAGATTGGTTTACAAAAAATGGATGAGCAGGGCTTGGTGTCCTATGGACACATATTCATGTTACAATTTGTAAAAAAATTATTGTACATTTATCATGTTTATTGGTTCTTCAAAGTTTTTAATATATGTGCTAAACTTGGATTTTGACCCATAGTTATTTACTTAAAGCAAAAAGAATCATCAGTTACAAATAACTGTCAGATGTATAAAGAATGACTTATGGTCAATTTAGGAAGATATTTGATTTGGCCCTGATTAGCCTTTACATGTAAACTTACATATGTACAATTCTGGGCATTTCAGAAACGAGGACAATCATGTTTATCGTATTAAGCTAATTATTATTACAGAAAAATTGGAGATCTTCCAAATGAAACAGAAATTACTCTGTCTGCTAACATATGTTATAATAATGATAATATTCATTCATGTAATTGTGATGGCAAATTGATGGCATAGGGTCATTTTACTAAATATTTGGCATCCTAATGATGTAAAGATGCCAGGGGTACATCTATGCTTGGTGACTGTTACATTAAGTAAGAGTTATTTGTTAATTCTTGAATATGATATATTTTCCCTTAAAATAGTCAACATTGAGTAAATATGATGGGGTACAAGTCATTTGATGATTAGTATGTTAATGGTATAGGTCCTAGGTAGCCTGAAGGACGTATTATATGGCCAGAAAATTCTGGTCTGTAAAAACTAGGTCACTGTTTTGTCAGAAATCTGTAAAAACACATTTTTGCAGACCTGGCTTGCCATTAATTAGCAAAACAATGAAGTCAAATTTACTTCCAGTTTGTATGGATGGATTGCTGTAACTAAAGAGTGATGATTGAATGAATCAACAGTTTTGTCAATGTCGTATTAAGATAGAAAATTAAACTGAAAATGATTATTTCTCAGCTGGGGTTGGTTCGTACCCACCTGTCACCATCCACCCCACCCCTCCTGTGCCATCTGCCCCCTTCGTACCAATCCACCCTTTCTATGAAAACAGAAGGAAAAAATGTAATATTTTGACTCCTTGAACTAACCATCAAAATATCCTTTAGATGTTATAGACATTACTGTCAAATATACAGCCATCCTTATTAGATTTGTATCAGCTGTTGGAGTCAAGAGAGGCTGTGAATGATACTTTTTACTGTTTATTTCCAGAAGAGAAACATACTTTGTTCCATTAAATCCTGATTTGCCATGTTGAGATTTTTTGCCCTTTGAACTTTGCGATTATATGAATGGTTTGACCAAATAAATGAATTATTCATGACAAATATCTGACTTGTGAAATATATTGACATTTGCTAGTAATGAATTAATAATATTCATTGTTGTATAATTATGTCTTTTTATAACTACTCTGATCCAGCCAGCCATGTCAATTTCAGTATTGATTTTCTTGTGTGTTACTTCCCCTTTCTGAAGCCATCATTATGGAAAGGACAGGAATAATTATCATTGTCTAAACGTAAATAACCCTATTGTTGATGAATTGCTGTAAAATTGGGGACATTTTGATTCTATATTATGTTCTGGGACATCTTTCACTTTCAAGATGAGATTTTGTTGACGATGGTGTCGTCTGCTAATTGGAGAAAATATTGAATGTGATGTATATATTAGTTAGATGAGACTATTGTACAAATGTAATTCAGTCATAAACAGTTATAAATTGTAGTTAGAAGGAAACTTTGGCTCAATTTCTATGGACCAGAATATATATGAAGTATTTCATACAAATTACTGCTGGATATGGTGTATAAATGAGGATTTATGACTCTACATTTTGTTTAACTGGTTTCCTAGACAGATGAAGGACAAATTTAACAGATATTTAAATGTCTTCCTATGTTGTTATGTTAAATCAGTAATTTTATGAATTGGATGTTTAAAAGTTGATATTTACTTTTGTGGGGTATTCATTTAAGTGGAAAGATTGATAGCTACATTACTATTGCTATTCTTTGACAGATATTTTTCAGTATTATTGCTGTCGCTCAAATTTATAGGAAAAAAAGCTTAAAAAAACACAGACATTTATAGCACTGAGTATCTATATATATACATATATATATAAATTGAGATAAAAAATTGTAATAAGTTGCAAAAAAAAAAAAAAACGCTGAACTGAGCATTGTTGCTGATCTGCCAGTATGTCCCAGAACCATGCTGGAATAATAAGATTGCCAACCAAGGAAGTGAATTAATATGGTGATATGTATCAATGAAGTGGAACGTTTTGCAGGATGAACCCCTCCTTGATATGGGAAGGATTAGGAAAGTTGTTTCAGGACTCAGCGATAATGACTCCCTTGTGGTAAGGTCATATTAAACATTGTTAAGCCTGTTGCAATGAACCTGTTATTTGGGGAGGGGGGGGGGGGGTGTTGGTTTTAAAATGTAATGCTTTACACTTCATACCCTATTTTTTTTTTTTTTTTTTTTTTAAATTACTGGTATTTCATGATCAAGTAAGATGAATGTATATGCCAACTTTGCTGTCTGATCATGCTTTTCATTACATACATTGTACTGGTATGTACTGTATTTCCCTGACTATAAGTTGATGAGGAGGATAGCTAAAAAGCAGAGCTGAATTGAGAAAAAAACTCAAGATAGGTCAAAGTGAAGGGTAGGTATATGAATAAAGTAGCAGTTTATGACCTGGCACCATGAAGGCTGATTTAGGGTAGGTATATGAATAAAGTAGCAGTTTATGACCTGGCACCATGAAGGCTTATTTAGGGTAGGTATATGAATAAAGTAGGAGTTTATGACCTGACACCATGAAGGCTTATTTAGGGTAGGTATATGAATGAAGTAGGAGTTTATGACCTGAGACCATGAAGGCTTATTTAGGGTAGGTATATGAATGAAGTAGGAGTTTATGACCTGACACCATGAAGGCTTATTTAGGGTAGGTATATGAATGAAGTAGGAGTTTATGACCTGACACCATGAAGGCTTATTTAGGGTAGGTATATGAATGAAGTAGCAGTTTATGACCTGACACCATTAAGGATAATTCAGGATAGGTCATTGATAAAGGGGCAGCTTGTGAACTGACACCATTGGCAAAGTTTTTCTAGACTATTGTAGGTATATGTAATCAAGTAAATTCTTGGGCAGCCTTCGTGCAAATGACGAGCTCTATTACAGAGTAAATTCCGATATGGATGGGATAGAACTTATGTTGTTCCTGCAACAAAAACCAATGTTTTTGGTATAAATATCAACGTCAAGGATACTAGACAGGGATGAAATGCTCACTTTTATTTATGACAAATCTTGGGCGAGACTATGTGCTGCGTAATGGGATTGCTAAAAATGTTATACTGAGCTATACACTTGATGAATTTAAAACACATTTTTGAATAGGAAAAAACTACATTTGAAGAAATTTATTTTGATTTTACATGCCGATCTCATCAACAATATCTGTGGAGGCACAAAACCAATAACACCAGTAAAACAACTTTTAATTTATCTGTGTTACCTAGCAAACATGGAATTTATCTTTGCTTATGCAAATACATTGTATACAGTTTTCCATC